GGGGGGGGATCACCTCAGTGGGGACTCTGACAAGAGGCGGCTAAGCCCTCCCCACTCCTCTGAAGAGACATGTAATCCTGCTCCACAGTCACCCCACTTCCCGGGAGGGGACACTCAGCCAGTAGGGGGGCGGGCAGAAGGCGCTGATCAGGTCTCTCTCCTCAGATGACATCGGCGAGGACCGAGGGAGCGAGCCCCAAGGGGACGCTGGCCTGGGCGAGCCCCCAGTGAAACGGGAGCGCAGCGACGCCAACCACACCCTGCAGGGCATCTAGCACAGGCCGGGCTTCCCGGCCGGTCCCCCCTTCCCCCTGGAGCCCACAGCCCCACACCACCTACAGTGCCTCTCCAGCGACGTGGCCAGGGCTCTGAGTCGCGTCGGGGTCACGTGGTGCCTTTGGGGGACGAGGGGGGGTGCGGCTGCTCCAGGCCCCCAGCAGTGAAGAAGCCGCAACCTCTGTCCTGCTCTGCTCCGCGTGTCCTGGGCACCCAGCTCCTGACCGTCCGCGACAGACAGACCGACCCACCGGGCTCACTCCCAGCCTCCCGGCGCCCACATCTGCAGCAACCTCCCGGTGGCCCGGGTCCCCCAAGAAGCAGACGCCCACGTGTGCCAAGGCCCAGCTGCGCCTTCAGAAACTCAAGCCCCGAGGTCTGCCCCGCAGGCCGCTGGAGGCAGCGGGCCTTTGTCCCCGGCCCGGCCCCGTGCTGTGATCTGGAAGGCGGAGGTTTCCAGGGCCTTGCAAGTGGCCAGAGCCAGGCGGTCCGCGGCACCTCCCTGCCGGGTGCGCACCTGCAGCCCCAGCAGTCGCAGCGCCGGCTGATGTGCCGGTACCCCACAGAACCTTCCAGAATGCCACCTGTGCATCCGCCACCGCATGGAGCGGTCGGACCGCGGGCAGGTCCGGAGACCAGGCCTCAGCAGCCCTGCGCCGCCCCCCGCCCCCAGGGTGAGCTGTGGGCCGTGGCTCTGCAGAGACCCCCCTTCCTTCACCCGAGGGCCACGACCGGGTCTCCCAGCTGTAGCCATCCTGTTGTTCCCTTTTTTCCGAAATCTGTTGGTACCATAGTTCTGTGCTTACTGGTTACTAGAATGTTTCCTATGCCTGTGTATCCCGCAGTGCGCTCTGTCCCAAATCTGTCTGTCTGCTCGTCCACGCGCCAGAAGGTACAAGGGAAACTCACGTGGCCTTCCAGAACCTTCCCAAAGGACCAGGGGCCGGCTGTGCTCCCCCAGGCGCTGGCCGGGGGTGGGGGTGGGGGTGGCACAGCGGTGGGGAGGGGGAGGAGGATGGGAGAGAGAGATCCGCGTTCATCTTAGAAGCCAAAACACACACACACATACATACACTTATGCACGCACGCACACACCACTCTGGTAGTAATCTCCACGCTGGGTCTCAAGAGTTCAAGACTTACAGAAGTCAGACAGAAAGAATGTGTCTGGAACCTGGCCGGCCAGTCCGCGGACTCCGCTGACCGCTCACTTCTTGGTGCCCGCGCTCTGTTTTGCCCGTCCCCCCCGCGCACGCGCGCACACATGCGCACGCGGGGACCAGTGCAGGCTGGGTTTCTGCCTTAAGCGCCTTCTGCACCTGCGCAGCGAACTCCACGAGGAGAAACATAAACCATTTAAAACACCCTGGTCTCCCTCTCGTGTTTCTCGCGAACGCGTCCATCGCGCCTACCCGGTGCGGGGTTGGTGTCAGTTCACAGCCCTGCCCCGTCCCCCCACGAGGCCCACCTTCCCTGGGCAGTTGGCCTGTTCCAAGAAGCCACTCGCCCTGCCCCTCGGCCTCCAAGGCTGCTGTTCTAGAACCTTCCAGAACAGATGGCGCGCATCATTCACAAGGCCAGCCCCTCGGTCTACGGTGTTAAGGAAGCGTCTCCTCACTCCAGGTGGGCCGTGCCTCATTCGGAGGTGAAAGGTGAGATGAAGCTCCAGTTGTTGCGGGAGCCCCGACCTGGCAGAGGGGAACCCAGTCTCAGTGCTGGAGCGTGTTTGAAACCCTGGATCCTTAGCCCCTCCCCCTGAGGAGCCTGCCTAGATGGGAGTGGAATGGGCACCCAGGTCCCAGCGTTGTGCCAACACCTTCAGGGCCTCTGACATGGCCACAGAGGTGAGTCCCTGACTGAGGAACCGGGAGGACCCACAGGCCAAGAGGATGGTGTGAAGAGGTTCCCCGTTCTCGGGTCCCAGTCAGGGGCCCCATCATGCCCTAGGAAGAGAGCTGGCCCCAGGGACAGTCAAGTCGGCCATCGCGCCTTGCTCTGCTATGGCCATCTAACAATTTTAGAACAAGGGGACCTGCACTTTCATATTACATTGTGGTATGGGCCACCGGGCCCGCTCTGGGGAGTTTGGTCCGGCTGCACCCACCCTCCTGGCTCAGGACTGACAGCATCTCCGTGCAGCAGCGCCCTCCCCTTCCTCCACCCCCACCCCCAAGCCCTGGCCTTGGAGACTGGGACCTAGCCCTGGGCCGCAGCTCTGGCGCTGCTTCTGGTCCCGCTGAGGATTGCAGGTAGGATTAGTGAGGGCGGGGATGCCTTGCCGCTGGAGGCAGGAGCCAGTCTAAGAAGCACAGCCTCAGGTGGAGCCTACATGTAGGTGGGGCCCATGGACAAACCCCCTCCAAAAAAACCCTCTGCCACCCAGTCATTCCTATTCATAGTGACCCCGTAATTCAACTCACTGCCATCATGTCGATGCTGGCTCACAGCCACATTCTGGGACAGGGTAGATCTGCCCTTGTGTCTGAGACTGCCACTCTTCACAGGAGTAGAAAGCCCTGTCTGTCTCCCGTGGAGCGGCTCGTGATTTCCCCCTGCTGGCCTTTCGGCGTGCAGCCCAAATTATAGCCACTACACCACAGGGCTCTCTATGGTGACCCTATAGGACAGGGTAGAACCGGCCCTTGAGTGTCTGAGACTGTAACTCTTTATGGGACTATATAGCCTCATCTTGCTCCCACGGAGCCGCTGGTGGTTAGCTCATTGCGTATGCCGCCAGGGCGCCTACCAGGTCCCAGACACGAACCTGGAAAGCGCCCTTCCCCAAGAGCCTCAGGCAAATATTGCTGCAGATCCCGGCTGGAACCTTCTCTGGTCCTCTTGCGGGACTTTTTCATCCTCAACTGTGATAGCAAGATGCGGCAGCGAGTACATGCACGCTTGCATCTGACCGCTGACGTATGCGTCAGCACCTTCCTCTGAAACATCCCCTCCAGTGAACAAGAGCCCACTGCTTCCTGAGCTTCCTGTCTAACCTTTCAAATGGCTATTGTCACCCTAGTCCCAGAGAGAGTGTTCTTTATTATTTTTTTAATAAATAATTTTATTGGGGACTCTAACAGCTCTTATAACAATCCATATATCCATTGTATCAGGCACATTTATACATATGTTGCCATTTTATTGTTTGCTTTCTTTTCAATTGGAGTTTTTCTCTGTTTCA